CCAGTGATTGCACATGATGCACAACAGAAATAGCCTGATCACTGTTACTTTTGATAAGTGTCTCAAATCAATGATGTCTAATTAGTTCCCTCTGTTCTGCTCAAACACCAAAGCCCTGGCAGACGTTACACCAGTTAATCATGCCTTTAGTATTCCAGTCACACATTAGTACAGTTAATAGTCCACTAAAATGAGGAATAAGTCAGGAAGTTATTGCACAAAATATGTGTACTAACTTTGTAGCTGGCTCCCTTGTGCTTTTAAGTTGCACATGGGGCCAGGCATCAGCTGATGGGGCTTCCACCCTTTGGCTCTCAAGCATTCCTGAGGCTAGGGTGCCAATGAGCTGAATGTTGCTCCCAGCCTCAGGGCTCTGATAACCCCCTGAGGCTGGAAGCCCTAATCATCTGCTGCTTCCAGCTTTGAGAGTGCATCAGAGCCCTTGACCCTCTTGCACAATCCTGACCTTGATCCTGAGGCTGGTAGCCTCATTCAGCTGTGGCTCCCAGCCTCCGGGACACATTGAAGCCCTTGACTCTGATGTGCTTCCAAGGCTGAAGGCAAAGGTCAACTGACTTGGTGCAGGGTAAGCCTGGAATCATTATCTTGGGCAATATGGTGCTATTGAGATCTGATCCCCAGTCCCACAAATGTGCCTCTTGCCATGGTACTAAGATTAAACCCCAGATCTCTTTTAACTTTGAAGGTAGTTACTTACTAGCCTGCATAAGAAGGTTTAAGGGCATCCCTTATGTCTTCCCCTGACATGAATTCTGCACTGAATCAGTATACTGGGGGTCTTATGGAGATGGGGAGGGAGGGGAAATCTTGTAAAGCTTTCTGTGAAATTCCTAATTGATGCCTTCCCTCGCTAGGCTGGCAAACTGGATCCCCACTTAGTCCTGGATCAGCTGCGCTGCAATGGTGTGCTGGAAGGAATCCGTATCTGCCGCCAGGGCTTCCCAAACAGAGTCGTCTTCCAGGAGTTCAGGCAAAGGTAATGCTTTTGGAGCAAGGCTGAATGCCAGCCTCTTCGTTTTGCCAAGTTAAGTGCCTGCCCCGTAACTGCTTGCTTTTACTCCTAAATTGTCATCACTTTTAAAAGGCAGGGAACCTAGCTGTACATGGCTGTGACCTAGGATTTTCCCCCTGCCTCATTTTATAGGAAGGTTTTCCCAAAGGGTACATTCCATCCAGTGGATTTGGACTGCCTTGCTTCTCCCTTATAGCAGCTTTGAATATGGGAAATAGGCAGGTGGGATGGAACACAGACCTCATGCAGGACTGCTGCTTCACAGTCTGATACCACAAGGCACAACTGCTGCAACTTATAATTTATCATTTGCAAACCATGAATGCCCAATACATTCCTGCAGTGCTATGTTTGTCCTGTCTGATCCTGGCAGCAGGCTGGTGCAGTTTGCATGATACCTTGCAGACTGATCTAACACCTTTGCTCATCCCCCTCAGATATGAAATCCTGACTCCAAATTCAATTCCCAAAGGATTCATGGATGGAAAGCAGGCCTGCGTGCTGATGGTAAGCAACATCCTAACTTGCATTCTAGGGAAGTTGTAAGTGGCCCTTCCATAGGCTCATTATAGAAGCCGTAGTGCACGCTCTTAAGCTGGAATAGCAATGTCTAATTCAAGGTGGTCTGACATTAAAGCAGTTAGGGCCACATGTCCCACAGGCAACATAACATGGGGGGCAGCACTACAAGGGGCCATGCCTTTCCCCACCCCCCACCCAAACCGCATGTCCCACATATGTGTGTGGGTGGGTACCCTCCTTGCTATCCCATCCCCCCCACCCCAGCCCACCCCCTGCAGCTGTTCTCCTACTTCACTGAACCACGTGTGGACAGACATCCTCCCTCTGCATAGCATTCTACCCCACCTTCCGCTCTCTGAGGGTTCCCCTGTGGCACCACGCTGTATGGCCTCCTGGACTGCCAGCACCCTAGCACTGTGGGCTGTGCTGCCCTACCCCCTGGTGCATGGCTATGAAGCCAAGGAAGGGAGGGGGAGCCCAGAGATCCCACAACACTAGCGGCCAGGTCCTCATGTTAACCCCTGCCAGGCCACCAGTTGAACAGCCCCAGTCTAATCTAGTACAAGGGAAAGCTGCTGAAGATTATGGAAATCAAACCCCTCTGATTCTACGGGGCATTGGTTCTGGTCCAGTATCAAAGGAGGATTTTTCCTGCTACAAAGCTTAGACACAGGCATAGGGCACTTTGCAAGATGACAGCAATGCAGGTAGGACTGGATTGTTCAGTGAGGTTAAACTTGCCCATAATGCTTAGTAATTTGCCTTGAAGCCCATTTTTCTCTTTAGGTAGCCTGTGGTGACAGCCAGTTCTAATGCAGGCTCCAAGCAGTCTCTTCAGAAAAGCCCACTTTAGAGCAAAAGCACTGATGGGGTGCAGTTCAGACTAGTGAGGCAGAATTACCCTGAAGATACCCTTTCCACTGTCCCAAGCAGAATGTGACCAATTCATCATCGTTGGTGCTAGGCATCTGCACTGACCAGTTCCTTGGAGGGGAAAAAAGAAATTTCTTGGGACTCTTCCAGTAAGGTTAAGGAAGCTAGAAATGGTGATATGGGAGCAGTCAGTAGGTGTATCTACCCTTTTCAAGAAGGGAGAAGGTCAGCCCCAGTTGCATGCTCCCAAGAGCACACTTGTAGATTCAGGGGAAGGGATATGTTAGCTCTCTTAAGTTTCATGTGACATTTAGAGCAGTCCTCCTATTTCTAATATTGCATTCTCTTGTTCCCTCTCACACTTCAGATCAAGGCATTGGAGCTGGATCCAAACCTTTACCGGATTGGACAGAGTAAAGTATTTTTCAGAGCTGGAGTCCTTGCTCACCTGGAGGAAGAAAGAGATCTGAAGATCACAGATGTCATTATTGGGTTCCAAGCGTGCTGTAGAGGCTACCTGGCCAGAAAGTAAGGACCCTCTTCCATGATGCACAGCAGATACATGCATGCCCATTGACGACTGGCTCAAGTTTCAGCTAGAAATGGTTCCCTTTAGACTAACTCTCTTGTTAAGACTTGAGTTTGGAATACAGCAGCTAGTCCTTGTTTTAGGGTTCTTCAGATCTCACATACATCTTTAAAAAGAACCTGACACCAGGACAGAATTTCAGTACAGGCAGTCCTCAACTTGCAACGTTTCTAAATTGACACCCCATTTCAACTTTCTGACACCAGTTTTGACTTTACAACGCTTGACTCGATGCGATGCCATGCCAGCGAACAAGTTCGCTGTGTCACCCACCTCCCTGGAGAACATCTGTCCAAACTTCCTTGGACGCTTTCTTTAAGAAAGCAGACAAAATTCCAAAAAAAAACCTGCAGCCAAGACTCCTGAGAAGACTCCAGCCAAGAGCCCTTCAAAATATCCAAACAAGAGTCCTTCAAAAAGTCCAGTAAAGTCACTTCAAAGAAATCCTTCTAAATCAATATGATTGCTATTTACAATAGAAATACATTAATGTAGCTATATTACTCATCTACAGTTGATCGAGTACAAAATTCTGGGGTATTTTTGGTGAAAATAAGGTATTGGGCCTTGGTTCAGGAACCAATCCCCTATTTATTGTTTCTTATGAGAAAATGGGTTCCGAGTTGCAACGTTTCAACTTAATTGGTTCCTGAAAACCGCATCTTGTGTTGTAAGTCTGAGGACTGCCTGTATATTGACTGGCAAAATCTTGTCAGAGACTTCTTCAAGGACATATCTGTGCAAGTGTCTCCCATGTTGAGTTTGGAGGCAGTAAAACATACTTCTTTCTGCTGGATAGCTGAAGAGGCAAGCTACTTGCCTGACCAGCCACAGATTGTGGCTCATACAATGTAGAATACAGCATATTTCTGTAAACACAGTGGTTTTATTTGTTCTTTTTAGCCATCTCAAACTGGGCAGAGCAGCAAAGAGATTTTTCCAGTGAGATTGAAATGAGATAGAGGTAGTTGGCTGCATTAGTTTGAAGTTAAGCATAGGGCAGGGCAGGGTGGCACTTAGTCTCTCTGAATATGTTAATACATTAAGTTTTCATAGGTTATCATAGCATCTGATGCTATTGTACCATACTGTCAGATGCTATGATAGCTTACAAAAGATTCTGCCTCCCTCAGTAAGTTAATGGGCAAGATGCCACCCTGCTGTCTTCTGAAATAAGATGGTGTAGTGAGGCTGAGAGAAGAGGTGTTTCTCATTAGTAGAACTAGAGAATAAAGCTTTCTTGCTAGAAAAGAAACATGGTGAAGGAACACCAGTGTTGCCTGAGCAGCATCAAGATAAACAAGGCCTGAAATGGAGGAAGTCCATAGTTAGTTTAAAAGGACCATCTGGAAATGAAAGCTGGAGGTGCATGTCTGAGAACATGCTTGATGGCGACGTTTGTGTGGAACCTGAGGGTTTTGTCTGTTTTCTGACCCCTCTTTATTGCACAGGGCCTTTGCTAAACGTCAGCAACAGCTAACTGCAATGAAGGTACTTCAGAGGAACTGTGCTGCCTACCTGAAGCTACGCAACTGGCAGTGGTGGAGGCTGTTTACCAAGGTATGTCTTCTCCCCTGGCACTTCGGAAATGGATTGACAGCTGCAACCGCAGTACTTCGTGTGCAACAAGAGCAAACAAAACCCCTCTCTACAGAGCTCAGCAAGGTCACTGTTTCATACAACACTAGCGTGTTGTAGCTGAATACCATAAGCGGCGTTGATCAGGCTGAGGCATGTGGGTGCCCTTCTTTCCCCAGGTATTCTGTTACATGGGCATTTTGTATTGCGCAAAAGGCAAAAGTAAACCTCAGGTCATCTGAGCTCAGAAAAGCCCTGCCCTCCAGTGATGGCATCATCTTCCAAGATGAGGGCTGCTTGTTACATAGCTAGTTGGTGTTCTTGCTGCCCAAGAGCCTCATCATTTCTCCCCAAACCTGTGGAGCAAAGGGATTTATTGCATTCATATCCTTTTTATTAATTTGCTATTAGTCATGACATTAAGCTGAACAGAAGCAAAGTTAACCTTTGCTTCCCCTGCTATAACACGAGGACACCCCCCCCCCACCCCCCCACCTC